TAAAAAAAAATCGCCTACCAGATATTCTATTTCAAGCTAGATCTTTATTAATAGTCCATCATCAGTTGTTATTATTTTGAAATTTACGCGAACTAGCATAAAATTTTATTCGATTAAAGCTCGAATATGTTATATATAAGAGCATTTAAGTATACCTGCAAAATTTCAGCGCTCTATTTAAACTCTTATTTTTTTCCGAATTTCTTGACCTACGACTACGATTCTTTGATCGCGTCTTAGTCATACAGTATTAGCATTAAAAATACACCCTTTGGGGAACATGAACTTGACAAAATTTCTACACCCACATTGATATTAGCTTAACTACGCACAGACCACAAAACGAAAACGCTTGCTATTGCGTTCAACTGAACGAATATATTTCATATCCATTCTAGGTAATGAGAATACTGCAAAAAAGTGCAATACACTAATCACAGTTCATAATTTGGTAACCCGACTACTATTATTTTTAAAATTTTAAATAAGTAACAATTCTGTCAGACGACGTTGTCGGAAAATGGGTGGAATATTTGTAATTGTAAGGTTAGTCAAATAAGATTGATGAAAATTATTATCAAGAGAGTTTTGTCGGCCAGTCAAGGTCCAACGGAGTTTAGTCTCATTAGCCAAAAAGTTTTCAATAATCTTTTCCAAATTTCCATTGGTTTACAAATATCCGTTAAAATTATCCGTCACCAAAAAAGTTTGAGAACCACTGCTCTAGAGGTTAAACTATATATACTAGAGTAATATTCTCATTTGATTTTTATCATAAATAGCCTCTAGATGATGACTAGATAATATTTTTGGTTTTTAAAACACTTGAAAGTAATTAAAAGTGGTCATCAGGACATCGAATTGTACCAAGATGCCAATTTGTAACCTTATTATCAATTTTTTATAGGTAAACCCTGTCCTGAACGATTCATTGCTTGGGCTAAAAGTATTGTTTTAATTTTTGTATTAGGGTAAGATAATCTAAACATAGGTATTTATCACATCCCCAACTAGCCATTCATAAAAGTGTATTTATTGTGAAGTTCTCATCATCATCTATTGTATAGTCCAGGAGACAGTAACGATTTTCGGTATTTATTTTCCCAGTCAGCAAGCACGAATAGAGAATTGTAGGATTAGCAATTCTAAGCAAAATTCATATATATTTAGAGGGGGGATCCGATGGGCTGAGGCCGAAAATGCGTCAAAACATACGAGAACACGGCCCTTTTTTTCCATTGATAAAAATAGTTTTAGTAGTAAGAGATGTACTGAAGTTAAGTAAAAAAATCTGATGTGTCCAACACATGACTTTCCTATCTAGTTATATAAATGTTTAGAGGATAAACTAAATATATACATTGTCCACATACATCTACCTCGAAACATTTTTCTATAGATATTCATGGAAAACGAAAATACTGAAAAATTTTAATTTCCTACAATTTTTTCATTACGGTCCATTTTAGAAAAATCATGTATAAACAAAAATTATAGAGATCGATATCGCAAACAACTTTTATTTCAAAAACTTTCATAATAAAAATCAGAATTTTGCACATTTTGTCAAATTTCTCGAATACGGACCATTTCAGGAAATTTTTACATAAAACAAAAATTACAGATAATAATATTAGAAGTAACTTTTATTTGAACAATTTTCCTCTCCAAACATAAATAACAGATATATTCCATAAAATATAAAAACGGCCTCCCATAAAGTACCCCCCCAGATGTTCCGACTTTGTCCAAAATCTAATCATTTCACGTCAGGCCGAAATAAACCTTAAGTTTAAAATTTAATGTTCTTTTCTTTATCCGTTTTTGAGTTTTTTTCAAAATTCGAAATTTACACATTTTCTCAAATATCTCGAATACGGTCCATTTTAGAGAAATTATGTAAAGAATAAAAATTATAGAGAATTTTATTACAAACAACTTTTATTTGAACAATTTTTATAAAAAAATATTTTTTTTACATTTTGTCAAATTTCTCGAATACGGACCATTTTAGGAAAATTTTGTATAGAACAAAAATTATAGATAATAATATTAGAAGTAACTTTTATTTAAAGAATTTTCTTCTCCAAACGTAAATAACAGATATATTCCATAAAATATAAAAATGACCACCTATAAAGTACCCCCCCAAATGTTCCGACTCTGCCCAAAATCTAATCAGCTCATTAGACGCTGAAACAAAGCTTAAGTTTAAAATTTGGTGTTTTTCTGTGTATCGGTTCATGAGTTATGCGTTATACAGACACACACACACACACACACACACACACACAGACACACACACACACACACAGACATCATCGCGAAAATAGTCAAAATGGATTCAGGGGACCTCAAAACGTAAAAATCCGTCGAAAACTCGAGGTCGAAAAAAATCATGATTCCTATACTTTCCTTATATCTGTATACAGATAGGAAAGTAAAAATAGTCTGATTAATCTGTATGGATAATATATTTGGCAAGTGCATAAAATACACTTTCAAACGAGTTATGTACACAATTATTTCTACGACCACAATTATTTAAAGAATGTTCCAGGTGTTTTGTATATTAAAGTGTACGCATAGGACACATAAATAAAATCTTATATCACAATGTTTCACTTAACCGGTTTATTTATAGAAATTAAACATAATAATTGAAGATACCTATTACAGAAGAAAATAGGGAAATAAATTACATTTCGTTTTACACTTTTATATATTAATTGTTTTATTTAGAATTCACGAATCACTTATCATTAATTATAATTATTGTTAGTTTCGTTATGTCAAATCATTTATACTAGAGGGGTGAGGAAAATACAGTGAACTGTGAAACGCCAATATCGTTAGATGCGCGTGGTAGAAATGGTCATATAATACTGCTAAAAACATAGCTAAATTTTCATGAAAACACTGTACTCTTGACATTTGCGATACTCCGACGCATATGCATTATTGATGTAATCTCATGATTTTACAGTAATAGTTTTTGCAATTTTAGTGTGATTTTTAGGTTATTATGGTTATTCATCTTATTTGGTTCTGATCTTTTGCACTTTTAGAGTATTTGTCTTTTATATAGTTTTTAATTTGAATTTTAATGTTGTGGTCTATTTATATTTGATTGCTGCTTTTCGACTAGTGCTTTATTCTTTTTGTGTTAAAATAAGCTTTATAACCATTAAGTACATGCTTCTAGTTGATATCTACCTAATCGTCATCGGGTGCTTGCAACAATGGGAAAAAGTGTATGGTTTTTTTGGTGTAAAGTTAGACGCCTTCATTTTTCAGGTAAGTTATTTGTAGTTATTTTTTACTTAAAAGGATAGCAATACGTCCTGGTTCGGGGTGTCACTTTTGGGTTTTAGCTATCTGAGCCAAATTGTCGGCTAAGTGTCCTCTTTTAGGGCACCCAGAACCGAAAACTATATAGGTATATATGTTTTTTTTTTTTAATTATTTTTTAATATGTATGCAGCTTGGATGAGGGCTTTAGGAAGAGATCCTAAGACTAAAAACTGACTGCTATAAATGCCGTTTTTAGAGCACATTTCATAGTAAGTGATTTCATTCTAGCAGCAATGAGGAAACGTTTAAAAAACATGCTGTACCAGCCATTACTTTAAGACCTCCTCTCTTTAAGTTATTATTACTTCATTCTAATGCATATAATAAAATGGTTTTTAATTTATGTCCTTATGATTAAAAGATGTAGGTATTTTAGTTATGTTATAATAGAAATATATGATACTTTGTATTGACTGACCTACTGTCCACTGGCCACTGGTCATTCCACTTTTACTCTTTTTTTTTATAAATTATCAAATTATTTAAAAACAAATATATGCCTAGCTATTTTCTGTAAATTACATTAAAATTTTAGTATTACTAATAAAACTTCAGTTAATTTATCTTATATATATATATATATATATATATATATATATATATATATATATATATATATATATATATATATATATATATATATATATATATATATATATATATATACACAACGGAAGAGTTAATTGGAGTTTCTCCTTGTTGAGTTTCAAAAATAGTAATTTAACATGATTTAAAAACAAATACATGAAATGGGCAAAATTGGCCTGCAAAGGCACTTTGTAAACAATCTCACTTGTATCGATATGACGTAATGCGCGAATTCAATCTGGCTTACTTTTGTTAATAGATTGGCGTTCCATTTTAAATATACAGTTCACCGGGAATAGATTATTTAAATATACACGGACCGGGAAAACAAGTACGAAAAAATTCACTGGCTCCTGGACTAGTACTGTATCGAAGGAATTTTTATGAATGAAACAATATACGACCCTCCACAATTGCGGTCTACTCTACTTCCACTGTTGTCAGACATTATTTTTTTTTGGACAATTTAAAGACCTAACAGTAATTCAAGCAAACGCAATAACATTACTACAGTTAAAAACATCGCAAACAATATTTTAATTTTATCCAAATATTGCATTTCTGTCGAGGATCATCCGCGTTGACTTCAGAAATTGTGTAATCTGTATTGGTTATATATCTATAGTTAAAAGCACGTAAACTTGGCATCAATGTTTAATCCGATTATTGAGTTTCTACCGCGTACACCACCGTTCATTCTTCAAAAATTTTGTAAATAATCCTATCTGTCTTGGTTATATATCTATGGTATTTATCTGGCTGAATGATACTCCTTTTTTAATCAGTTACTATACAAAATGTTTTGATAATAATTTTTTACTATTCTATGAGAAGCAGATACCACATATTTTTTTATATTTCTTTACTTACTTAAAATATTTTTGTTAAAGGCTCTACTTTGTTGAGCAACCTCCTCCTCCAGCATTGATATTAATCGTTAAATATTACAGTTGTGCTTACTTACCATTGTATTAAATATTTTCGTATGACTTACAAGAATAATAAGTCTTAAATTTTCCATGAACATTTTTTATGTAAAATAAACAAACTACATATACTTTAAATATATTATATTTAAGCTATATTATCGTTTTATTAACAATTATAAGAAAAATTTTATGTCTGTACTCCCAATTTTTCCTTAACAGTCTCATGACCATCTTTAACTGTCTCAGCTACGGTATTTCCAAACTTTTTAATTCCAGATCCAATATCATCGAGAACATCTTTCTGAAAATTAAAATTAATTATTTTTTTCTGCGATCATGAATTTAGATAGGTTGTAAGTTGAAAATAGGAAAAATATATTTTTTTAATCAATACTAGGTGTCAAAACCAATCATTAAAAAGATTATAAACAATACTCTTGGAAACGAAAATAGGAAAGTCATTTCCACTTTAAATTTGACTTCTAATCTACCTCAGTTTTAAACCGAAGACACACTAATAGACTTACTAACAGATCAGTAATCTTTAATCAAACTGTGGTACGTGATGCCTCCCAAGGGGGTCATCGTGCAGTTAATGGACGTTATGTACTTGTCTTTAAAGAAAATAAACATTGGCTAAATTTTATTAAAAATTTAACTCTTTTCTCGCATTTTATACTGTGAATATGGCAACACTGTTGTTGTTGTTGTTGTTGTTGTTGTTGTTGTTGTTGTTGATTTAACGGGGATTCCAAGCTTGATGACATCTGCAGTTTGTTAAATTAAATAAAATTTTTTTAACAGACGAAGAAGAAGACGAAAAAGAATTGTTAGTAATGAACAAACTAAAGCATTATTTTTAAATATATTGTCTTTGCAACTTTTGCTTTTTACTTGTTAAAGTGCAGTATGTTCCATTACCATATCAATTAATTTTTCATCCAGAATTTACAGTAGCATTTTATCAGAGGTAATACCACGAGTCCTTTAAATTTTATCAATAAAATTTTTGGTTTCCTCGAAAACGTCTTTATTTGGAAAAACCACGAAAACTAACCGATTGATATAATCACAGTCTAGTAGTATGTTGAATCGGTTTTTTTGAGTGGTTTTATCTAAAATAAAGGCGTTTGAGTATGGAAACTCAAAATGTAATATATAAAATTTTAAAAGACGAGAGGTATTTAAAAAGATTATTTTTTAAATAATTTTTTTTAAAAAGACACACAAAACATTTTTGGAAGTATTTTTTTGAATATATAAATATTTTTTTATAGTAATATAATTTCCATTATAGCCTAAAACTACGACAACAGCGTATTCTGTAACAGACGAGACGGAACAGCCATATCGAGCATGTGTAAGGTACTTGCCTTTCACGTAAGTGACATTTGCCAAATTTTAAAGAATTTTCTTGTGATTTCAGTGTCTTAAAACATAAAATTAAGTGATTTGCTTAATTTAACAACTGTTTGGGTAGTCAAAAATGATGTTTAATTTACAAAAGTTGAGTCTGAGTGAAATAATTTTATGGGTATTAAAATGATTTAACATAAAAATACAAAATGTATATTTTAGGCTATTTGCATCTTAGGCCGACGTATGAAAATAGTTTGTTAGAATCAGCACAGTTAGGCACACAGCAGTATATATCGATCGATTACGTCGAAATCAATTTGAGATTGATTTGGACGCACTCGTTCAGCTGAGCATACTGTAAACTGTCAAGTAAAATGAAGTAAGGATAATTTGTGTTTTAAAAGTGATAAAATGTTGTCGACATTTTTTTCTAAAAAAGGATGAAATAACACAGGGCAACAAAAAAATATTTTTGGGACGCTGTATTTGGAACGCTAAATCTGTACATGCAATTCGTTTTTCTCTATCAGCTCTACTTTTTTAGATACATCAACTTATCTACCAATGTGGTTTTTATTCAGTATATTCATTTATGAGACTTCTAAAATTATTATATATTCATTAATGTAGGTACAATGGTTTTATTGTCAGTCTGTAATTGAGTAAATAACCGCAGTAAGTGGACTTATCCCAATGTAGACTCGGCAATACGCTCTATCCCGCACTCAGATGAAATACCGATTCCAACATTTCATCAGCTACCAGATATCTCTAATGACGAATATTTTACCTCTGATCGCTGTTCTGATGCTAATAAAAGTTCTGATGCTAATGAAACTAACAGTGACTATGAGGAGGCGTCATCAGTTCCTCAACGCTTTAATCAAAATGAATTAAATGAGCTCACCAGGGATCTCAATTTATCGAAAAAAGTTTGTGAAGTACTGGCGTCTAGGTTGAACGACAAAAATTTATTGGAACAAGAAACCATAATGACCTTTTACCGTAGAAGAAAAAAGTATCTGCTACTATTCTTTTCTCAAGAAGACAATCTTGTATTTTGTCACGAAATTAATGGACCCATGAAAGAAATGGGACTTATTGAATATATTCCAGATGATTGGCGCCTAGTTATTGACAGTTCAAAGCGAAGTTTATAATGTGTCCTTCTACATAATGGGAATAAATATGGTTCAATACCACTAGCTCACTCAACGAAACTTAAAGGAGAATATAAATATAATACCGTAGCTTTGGTCTTGCATAAGGTAAAGTATCACGAACATCAATGGATGATTTGTGTAGACTTAAAAATGGTAAACTTTCTTCTTGGACAGCAAAGTGGTTACACTAAATATCCGTGTTTCTTGTGCCTCTGGGATAGTAGGGACAAAACACACCACTGGGTTAGAAAAGATTGGCCTCTTAGAAAAAACATGGACATTGGGGAAAAGAATGTCATTAACGACGCTTTGGTTGAAAGAGAAAAAATCATACTCCTTCCGTTACATATAAAGTTGGGCTTAATGAAGCAATTTGTAAGGGCTCTTGATAAGAATGGGTCATGTTCTGCATATATAAGGGTAAAAATGCATCAGTTGAGCACAGAAAATTGTAAAGCAGGGATATTTGACGGCCCACAAATAAGACAATTAATTAAGGATTCTGCCTTCATAAATTGAATGAATAAAGTTGAACGAGAAGCTTGGACATCATTTGTTGCAGTTATATAAAATTTTCTAGGCAAACATAAAGCTCAAAACTATGTTGAAATGGTTAACAAGATGCTTAATAGTTTCAAATCCTTGGGGTGCAATATGAGTATTAAAATACGCTATTTACACAACCACTGACGTGAGTTGAACGCGACAAATTCTATAGTACGCGTCCGTCGAGCGTCGCGCACTGTTCTAACAAACCACAGCTTACAGTGTAGTAAAGCTAACGTGTTTACTGTGCTATTGTGAATTAACATTAGGAAAATATGAAGAATTGGCCTATGAAAGACAAAAACATTGGAAATTACTTATCCATCAAGTTCTACTTCGGAATCATAATGTGTTGTGGGAAAATATAACAGAAATACTTCCAAAGTACGGAAAGTAATAAGAAAATATAATTTGCAATAAATACATTAATTTGGGATTCACGTTCACATACGTAAACGATGAGCTTGGGCGGCAATGTCTGTTTTGAAATTATCTTAAATCAAAGTATGAAACCGTCGGTATTGAAGGTCCACTTTAATTAATACATACATACTACATTAGAAAGTAAAAGTAAGGAGTATTAAACTGTTGTTTCAAAAGTATGCTAAGTGAGAAAACCAGATATTGTTCGCAGGTTAGAAAATGAAGGCATCGAACGTTAAAGGACAATTATTATTCCTAGTCAAAAATGTGTTTTTTCTAAAATAGAAAAATAAGTTTATTCATATAATGGAAAAAGATTAGAGGAAAATATACACAAAATTCCTATAAATGCTAATATTAAATAGATACAACCGCATGTGTATACTTCTAGTCAAAAATTGCATTGCTCTTGTAAGTATACCAAAATATGCTGTCAAGTTCTTTAACAAATTGATTGGATACGGTTCTAACAGAAATAAGATGTATATAATATAAATTGGTCTGGCTAGTCCATGGCATTGAATTAATATTCAGCTGATAAAAAGGCGGTTCTACTCATGATAAGGTTTTCAAAGATATTTTAACATAGAACACCAATTTTTTTGTTTAAAACAATGTCTACATATGTGCGAAATATTACTGAGGTTAATGCATTCATAATGTTTGGCAATTTGTATAATATTATTGATAAGTAGCTAATTTGTCTAAATTTTGGGTATAAATAACTTAATTTTACGACTAGTTTTCGTTTTTTGTTAAAAATTAGATTTATATTTATGAAAGCAGTTTCAAAATGCCTTATGAACGAGTTACATAAAATGGCATTTCGTAACGTGTTACATACAATTTTTTCTAATTTTAACTAGATTATTTATAAAACTGTGTTTTGATAAAAAATACTCCAATTTAGGTAACCAATATTACTATTTTCTTGTACTGTTAATAATAAGAGTATTCTGAAACAAAATCTTTGTTCTCTTTGTACCTACACTATGATGAATATGAACTAATACGTCCTTTTTTATTACTTCTCTTAGATGTATCTTGCAAAGATTATTGAAGAATCATTATTAGTTGGTCTCTTTTAGTATTTGGATGGGCAATTAATTTATTTTGTTCATTTAAAAATGTGAACATTTTATCAAAACGCCTATTCTGGTTTTCTATAACTTGTCATTACAATTAACTATAGTACGTAGTACATCAGCTTTTGTTACACATGCCTTTCTTTTGGACAATTTTGAAAATTTCTCAACATTGGCAGTGCTATTTTCGGACTGTGTATTTGTATATGTAATAGGTGGAGTTTTACTGGTGGAAGGTTTATTTACATCAGTGCCAAGCTCTTTTGGTATTTCAAGAGTGTCTACTCTATTTGACAAAGTTGTTTTGTCTTTTGACCCGATGATGTTGTGCATTTCTTCATAAAATGGAGGAGGTACACTTTTACCTTGACCAGTTCGGTGTAGATGCCTACCATGGTTAGTGTAACTTTTTACTAAATTAAAATACTTTTACTGCTGTTACTTCAAACCCATCTTCGTTCATTTCCATTGCTATATATTTGCAAAGCTTACTCTGTGGATTTTTTTTCATCAAATATTTTTTATATTTATCAGAGCCACGTAATTTTAACAGTTTTTTGGTTGCTAATATTTCTTCAGACGGCTTGCCTTTACTACTCCAAATTTCAGAATTATTTGCAATGCTATCAGTACTGCTTTCTAATAACTCCTCTACATAAACTTCTGTAGTATCATTCTCTGAATTTACTATTTGGGCTATTCTTACAACAGATACATTTTCTGTTGGTTGAAGATGAACACCTAAAGATATTCACATACCCTCTTTAATTTGTTTTAAAATAAATCATTGTAAACTCATCATCTGAAAATTTAACATTTTAATAAGTGTTGACAACAAATATTAATATAGGTGTGCACAATAATAAATTATCTAATTAAAATTTACTATTTGAAAGTGCATCAGCAACAACATCGTTCTAATGAAAAGTTTTTTTTTGTGTGTGTCATCGGCATCAACTGCTACAGTTATTAGCCTCGTGTTCTGTGTAGGCTTTGTTACTGTTTCCCAGCGCCACTTTAGGAACAGCACTGTTAATTAGTACCCTACCAAGGCATCAGAATTATTTTAAACTAATGAAGAGTTATTTCAGTTCCCTGTATTTTGAATGTAATTTATTTTATAGTAAATGGTGTTTTCTTTGGTAAATCAAAAATATTCAAATAAATAAAATAAACTGTATATACTCGTATAACCACCACCCATAACCTAACCAAACCACAGAAAAACTCTCTTCACAATTATTATTTGCGCATGCTCGATACATATGACGTCATGGAAGTAACCCAAGCTTATAAAGAATTGCTCGGGTTACATAAATATGTTCTAGTAAGCTTATAAAGAAGCGCCTAAAATGTTTGCAATAGGATTTTTTATGGTTATTGACATCTAGAAGCACATATTTAATTGCCAGCGTAGATAAGAAGGGTGGTAATTGCCCCCCCCAAGCCATATTCAACATCATTATTTTTTTAATGTTATATTAAACAAAAATGAAAAGATAAATAAATACAATAATACAAAGAGTTTCTCAAACATGGTCACCTAAAATAAAAATATTCCTATAAATTGAAAATTATAAATAAAAACTTCATTGTGAACAAGAAAAATTGACGTGTTTTTTTTATTTAAAAAATTCCTTCGTTTTTGAGTTTTTGGGAGGTCAGGTTATCGTTAGTATACATCATGTATAATATATGCTCTTCTGAAAATTATTGTTGACGGAAGAAAGGTTGATTACATACAATTACATATTTTTTAGTAATATTTCTAGCTATTTTTAACTGTCTTGATCCATCTTAAACCTGCAGAAAGTAATCTAAATACTGTTTCACTTAATATACGACAATGACATAAATTTAGGGTAAAAAAATTAAAATATCCATATCTACGAATGCAAATTAAATATAGACTATTAAAAAGGTAATATTAATAAATAATAATAAAAATAAAGTACTTAACTAGTTCTAAGAAAATAACTAAAAAAAAAAAATATTTTTTTCCAAGATAAAAATAAACAATCAATAACCTACAAGAACCTGATAAGTTTCCCATGGAATACGAAAAAGAATGGCTTTGTGTGTAACATATGAAAAAATAAAAAAAAATCTAAAGAAAACTTTTGTGGAAATAAATTTTAAATAAAAATGTAATTTTTCTTAAATCAAACAAACATTTAACACCCTGTATACAAGTAAAAGATAGTTTTGTAACAATAAGTAACACATATTTAAGGAAATGTTATTGAACATTGATAATAACAAAAACCCTTTCTTGAATTGGACACAATACGAAAGAGCTGTTCAACACCCTGTACTATCCAAACTATCCAAACTCCTGATCAGTAGGTCGATATCTACAGCATATCTGAATTTAAAAAAAAATCTTACAATAAGCCATTTCCCATAAGAATTATGTGGAGTCCTTCCTGTTACAGGTAGCACATGCCCTATATTTTTTCTAAAATCAATTTTTATGACCGACCTTTTAAATAAACACCTTTTTGTTGTATCTACCATTACCAACACAATCTTACCTACATTTTATTTTTTTCTGTTAATCATACTTTCATCAATTTGAACGATATGACCAATGTCACGTAGTAGAAAGAGTTATGGTAGATACAAAAGTTTCCAAGACACATCTCGAATAAATCGGTACATTTAACGTAAGTCTTCTGTTTTATAATCGAAATGCTACTCTAGGTGGCACGCATTGAGATAGAATAAACAGAAGATAATATCACGATGCTAAAGTTACCGCACCGTTGGATTATATTTTTATGTTATCTGTCAAACTCAAAATAGCTAGTCATTTTTGGTGAGAATAATTGCCATTTTTTTTAAATATATTCATTTTTCTACGAACTCTTACAAAAAGACATCTTTCGCCACAGGATACTTTCAGCGAAAACTTGATTTCCGTCACTAGTGAGAAAAAATCCCATAACGTTTACTTTCGTTTCTAGTGACGAAAGTAAGTTGTTACATATTTTCATATATCAGTCGTCTCGTATAATATTTTGGCAGCTTATAATTATTAATAATGAAATAAAAAGATGCTCATTAAATTCTATATGCGTTTTTACCTAAACTTTAATGAATTAAAGATAAAATAAAAATGTATAAAAATAGTGCAAATTAAACCAATCTACATCTAGTTTCCTGGTTTTCATTTGTTTATTTGAAGTTTTATCACTTTTGAGAACTGTCAGTTTCAGTTCGTCCTAAATTTAACACATTTTCATGATGTCTGAGTCAGAAAGCGATTGTACTCCCCCAGAAATTATTTTTAAAGCTGAAGAAACCTCTTCAGATTTATTACCGGCCAAATCAAAAAAGAGATATGAAGAAATTTTTGGACTGGAGAGAAAAAAATAAAGTGAAATCATTTTCGGAAACTGTACTACTAGCATACTTTGGAGAAATATGTTAAAATTTTAAACCGTCGACGTTATGGTCCATTTATTCGATGCTAAGAACTACACTCTCTGTTAAAAATGATGTCGATATTAGTAAATATCCAAAGTTACGTTCGCTTTTGAAAAGAAAATCTGATGGTTTTAAAAGCCAAAAATCCAAAAGTTTTGCGCCTGAAGACATAAAGACTTTCCTAAAGAATGCACCTGACTATAAATATTTAATAACAAAGATAACGGAATTATTATTTTTATTTTAACAAATACTTAATACATAACTACTAATATTTGTAGGTAGCATTAGTTTTTGGATTATCTGGCGCTTGTCGTTGCCACGAACTAAAAGATTTAACAATAAGCGATGTAAAGGATACTGGAAGTATTCTGTTAGTTAAAATCCGTAATACAAAAACAAAAGTTCCGCGTTCTTTTCATATTTCTGGACCCTTTTATGATATTTCTAAAAAATATATGAGCCTACGTCCCGCAAACATGGATCAAATTAATTCAAGATTCTTTATTAACTATCAGAATGAAAAGTGTAGCAGACAGGTTGTTTGGAATTAATAAAATCAGTAAATTTCCTAACGAAATTGCTCAGTTTTTAACGCTTCCGAATCCTCAAGATTACACTGGGCACTGTTTCCGCAGAACATCCGCAACGCTATTAGTGGATGCAGGAGGTGACTTGCTTCTGTTAAAAAAGCACGGTGGTTGGAAATCTAGTAGTGTTGCGGAAGGATATGTTGATGAATCCACGAACAGTAAAAACCAAATACAAACCAACATTTTACAATCTGTACAAAATAAGGGAAACCACTAGTTCATCCGATTATGGGGCATTATCATCTGAAATAACATTTAACAGTAGAACAAATATGTCGGCATCTACCCCAATAAATAAAAAGCTTGAGTGTGATACCCCCATAATTTTGAACAATTGTTCAAATATAACAATAAATAATATTTCTGAAATATTTAATTGTTGGTTAATTTTTTGTTATTCCTAACACAAACTAAAGAATTTGATAATGTTTGTTTTTTTTTTCATTTTAGTAGGTACCTACATGACATAATAGAGTTCGTAGAAAAAGTATAGTGTTTTACTCGTCGAAAATCATTTTATTTTCGTCACTCGTGAAACAATATACTATTAAATGATATAAAATCATTGTCATCCCGTCAGTCTTCAAATATTAAATTACTGATTTCAAATAAATCAAGGTTCGACTTAAGTCGCCATTTTCATTACATTTTTCCGTCATTTGAAGTGTCCATTTGTCATATCGCAAAATAGTGTTTATGTCGTATTTACTTTATTCTATCTCGATGATGGCACGAGGCAGGCCCAGAAATATATCAAGACCATAACGTCCCTTATCGATACATGTACATTTTCAAAGAAATATCCTTTTAAGACACTATAATATCATTTACGACAAATAAAAAAAGGTATGACTTAGGGTATGGTCCGTTATTAACCGAAATATCGGTTACTCGGTCCAAAACTAACCGCTCTACTTGACATTCCTGAAAAATCGGTTAATTTAGGGACGCGGTTACCTGAAAAATGGTGAGTTAAAAGTCAATTTACTAACCGCTATATTTTTACGGTTACTATTAAGTCGAATGTCAATCTGTCACAAAAGTGACGTAAATCTCGGCCGTGTTCCAAAAGTAACCAAGAAATTAGTTTTTTTCAGGAACCGCTGCCCAAAAAATCCTGGTTACTAGCGGTTAGTAGTCGGTTAATAACGGACCATACCCTTTATCTTTCATCGTTTCTTTTAGTTAACCTACAAAAGCGTTTACAAGAACGAGAAAAACACCGTATAAGGAGAAATTCTTGAAGTTTTCGTATGACACTCAAATCGTTTCAATGTTGTCCAAAGTAATTAAAAATATCTTCAATATTCAGTTTTGCAACTTTTTTCAAATTCAAAATCTTGAAAATTACACATAAAAAGCAATTGAATCGAAATTACTACGCTTCTGTCAAAATAGGTATGGAACTTTTCAGCATCCGCAATAAAAAATAGTTCCAACTTGGTGGAATGGCCATCTTCCTGAATTTGGTCTATAATCCACAATTTTTTTTTTAATCTGTTAATACATATTTGTACTTTTATTTAAAACATATATCAAACATGTAATTTTGTTACGCTAAAGTAATATGCCACCGAGAACATTTCTAACTCTTTAATATGCTTGAGTCTAAGGAACATGAATATAAAACCGAGGTGTGATTAAAAGTAGGGTTGGCAACACCAAATATTACAAAAAGTCAATTTTATAATTTAGAAGAAGACAGACAAAAATGTGAGT